ACGGTCTCCTGGGAAAGGGGCCCCGGCGGAGGGCTGCACACTTGAGGGAGTGTGGTGGGGACCTGCAGGCACCCCTCCTGCCCCTCGGGAGAGGCCTCGCCCTGTCTCCCAGCCCCCAGCTCAGCCTGCAGCCCCAGGGGTCACCACAGTGGCACCCAGGGATGCCCCACATTCCAGTCTGCCAAGCACCCCGCAGCCCATTATCTGAGAGTCCCCCATTTCTGATCGCCCCACAGGACTAAGAAACAGGCTCAGAGAGGGGACCTGAGGCTGGAAGGGATGCGAGGGGGTCCAGCTGGGAGAGCCGGCTCTCCCCAGGCTGGCCACAGCCTTGCTGTGTGTCTGAAGGGACCCCAGCCCTTCTCTCGGGACCCCACATGCTCAGTTACAGAAGGCACAGGATGGAGGGTTCACGGCCACTGGGAATGGGCAGCGGGCACCCAGCCCTGCGGGCCAGACTCCAGAGGAGGGAGGGCCGAGGCCCTGGAGGATGCAGGGCTCTGGCACAGCTGCGGGTGGACAGACAGGCCGTCGAGGGGCAGAGGACAGGCCTGGGGACAGAGCTGCCACTGGCCGACGGTGGGGAGGGGCAGCAGCTCCTGGACCTTACTTCACCGGGAGCCCAGACACCTCCTGACGCCCACCGATCCCGCCGCTGCCCGCCCACCCCCAGCCCCACGCCGCTGCCGGAACCCATGCACAGCTCACACTCCATAACGACATGGACGTTCCCTCTCCTCTCTGCTCCAGACAGGGCCACTGGCCAGGAGGCTGCGAGCCGCCACCTCTGCCCCAGCATCACCCCTCCCCGACCCTCGGGGTCCTGGGAGGTTTGGGGCCCCTGAGGCCTGACCCACCTGGGGCCAGTGTCAGGGAGGTGCCCTCAGCTGGGAAGCCAGAGACCAGCCGCCTCCAAAACAGGGCGGGGGGAAGAAGCCCAAGAGGGGAGCCAAGGGCTGGCGGGGGGTGGACGGTGCCGCCCCGCAGACCAGGCTCCTGTATGCTTGGAGCTCCCCTCGGCCTGGCACGGCCCTCCTGATGCGCCTCGCCTGGGTGCGGCCAGGACCACCTGGGTCCCAGCCGTGTGGCGTGCCTGTCGGGAAGCGGGTACCATCCTGGCTCCACGGGAGCACGTGCCAGGGACACGTGTGCCCTGGGCTAGCGCGGCCCCCCTCCGTGATCAGCCACTCTGCCCTCTGGAGCCACGAGGTGCCCCCCTGCTCCTCTGGCTGGAAGGGGCTATCCAGAGGGGTCTCCTGCACTCTGGGAGCCTGCAGGCCAAGCACAGCCGTCCTTGGGGCAGGGAGCCAGCCACTGGAACACCAGGCACACAGCTCTCCATCACCACGGCCGCCTCTAAAGCTCCAGGCAGAGGGCAGAGCAGGGGAGGGGTGGCAGCCAGCAATACCTGGATCTGGGAAGGGGCTTCCAGGCTGCAGGAGCCACAGCAGCAGCAGGTGAGGCGCCTTCCGGGCACCACAGGAGCCCAGGGGTGGGGAGGGCGTGTGTCTGCGGGGTAACAGGGAAGAGAGCAGTGGGGGCCATCTCATCGTGCCCACAAATGGGGAGCCCCCAAAGGGTCTTAAAGGACATTCTGTGCTGCCAGAGGACGGGCTGCCCGAGGAGGTTGGGTGGAGGTCTTTATGGCGCCCCCAGGGCAGGATGCCCTCACTCGAAACCTAACCGAGCAGGTCCAGGGGCCACTGAGCCAGGGGAGGGCCCAGAATCACTGCAGGAGGCCCTGGCAGCCCTCAGTCTCCTTCCCACTCACCACCTGATCCCTGGCCAGCAAGCCAAGGTGCCAGTCAGCCCCTGACAGCCCTCCATAGGCCATCTGAAATGGCAGCGCCCTGAGAGGGAGGCTACTCTCTGACCCACCCATTTCACAGATGAAATGACCGAGGCGAAAGGCAGGCCCAAAGTCACCCAGCCAGTTAGTAGAGACTTGGCTCTAAAGCCAGGAAAAGGCAACCCAGGCTGGCACTTTATTTTGCCCCATAAGGTGATTCGGACGGGGTAGGAGAGCAGGGGCAGAGACACTGAGGGGCCCATCAGCTCTACACCCTCAGCGCCAGGCTGCCTGGTGCCCCACAGCCACCCCGAAAATGCCCATCATGGACCAGAAAGCAGAAAGATTATGAAGGAAGCAGATGTCACTAACCTGTTGTCGTGACTTTAATTCCACCTTTTGGGCCTCAGTTTCCCCATCTGTCCACACCCCCTACCCCCCACCTAATAGGTAAGTCCTTCAAGGCAGAACAGGGCCTCAAAGGGGCTCCCTGGGACCACAAGTCTCACTCCAGTAACACTGTGAACGCATAAACCTATGCAAGTCCAAAAGCCCCCCTGGAATGTGGGGGGCAGTAGGGGGCGTGCGGTAAGGAGTTTCCACACGGAACCAGTCTGCAGCCTGCCAAGGCGAGAAATGCCACGTGTGTCTTCCTGAGACTGTTCCCACAGTCCCCTTCCCAGAGCACTGGCCCACTCACCACAGCCCAGCCCCCGACAGGCCATGCAGATCTGGACAAACAAGCCCCAAGAAACCTAAGCAGAGGGGTTCTGGCTGTCTCTGCTGCCAAGACTGAGGCTCGGCACCTTTCCCCTTCCCGACAAGTCCTGTTAGAGATGTGCTGTCACCAGGACAGATGCAAACCTGGGGGAGGGCTTTTTAAACGCTAATGACAATTTTCGTTTGTCTGTCTTTCCCACTTCCAAAAACCCGGAAGTGGAAGAGGGAGGGAGGGAGGGATGCAGGGAGGGAGGAAGGGATGCAGGGAGGTGTGGCGCCCAAGACCAGTGATGCTGACTCCCCATCCCACGCCATCCCCCTCTGGCCAGCACCTGCTTCGTACCCACATCACCCACGCTGCAGATGAGGAAACAAGCAAATCAGTGAGGCTGGCCTCAGGTCCCACCCACGGCCCCCCAGGAAGCTCCAGCCTGGCTCTGAGGGCCACAGACAAGACATTGAATTCAGGTTGGCCCTGCATCAACCGAGGTCCTAGTCGGCCCAGAGCCCCACTTCTCTCCCACCAGCCCATGCCCCTCCATCTTGGCTAAATGACAGCAGTGGCCTCCACATGGGGCCCCCTCACCCCCCGTAAAGCCCACCCCCTGCCTGTACTGACCACTCACACGAGGAGGGGCTGGCGGTACCTGGGCCTCTGCTCCCCTGAACCCTGGCCGGGGGCCTCCGCGTGGGCACAGAGCTGTGCATCTGGCCCCTACCTCAACCTGGCGGCCACGAGAGGCTGTCCAAAGCACTGGCTGACCCCCTGAGCAAACCCCACGACCTCCTGGGGCTTTGCCCTCAGAGCGGAGCGCCCACCTGCTCAGGAGCTCCCAGCATTTCCTGGGGGGCAGCCCTCACCCCACTCACGCCCTCAGGCCCTGGGCCCTGCTGGGGAGCCTGTACCTCTGCTCCCTATGTGCCGGGCCAAGGCCAAGTCCGTCCGTCCTAAGCAGCCGCTTCATCCCACCTCACACAGGCGGTCCAGACCCCCAGATGTGCCCGAGGGGCTGTCGGGGGCTCTCCCTAAGAGGGCTTCAGCTCTCGAGCTGCAGGAAGCAGCGGGTCCCTCTCCGCTCAGGCCTGCCGGCACCCGGAGTTGTCGGGGCGACGGCTCCTGATTTGTTCTCAGCTTCTCTGGGAAAGCAGGTCTCACTGTGCCAAGGGCGGGATAAAAACATCTCTGTGTGTCTGGTCCTTTCTGGACCATCTCGGCAAGAGGGAGAGGCCTGCCTCCCGAGACATGGCTCCCGTGTGGCTGCCTTTCTCTCTGGGCAGTGAGGTCTGGTTGGGGGAGGCGGTCCACTGAGGCAGGTCTTCTGACGGGGGCTGAAGAAACAAGCATTCCTCCACCAGGCCAAAGTGCAGGGGTGGGCAGGAGGAGGGGGGTCGAACCCCGCCTCTCAGGGGGGCATCCACCTCCTTCAAGAGTGTAGGACCTGCTCATTGCAGACATGGTGACAGGGCCTGGGCCAGTGACTCAGTTTACCAACTTGCCCAAGTCTCTCTTTTTCTAAAAGGATCTGCTTTTAGGGAAATTTTGTTCCAGAAACCCAGCTCCTGAGAGCTTCGGGGCAGGCAGGCCCCCCAACTCCTCCGCCGGCAGGCAAAACCGAGGCCCAGAGGGAGGAGGGGACACACACTCAGAGGCTCAGGCCCCACCACCAAGAGAACCAGGCGGCCCAACGGCCACATTCCACATGCACTTCCCACAACAGGAGGCCCCCTTGCACACTCACTGGCACACCTGCCCCTGCACCTGCACATCCACCCACATACTGGCACACCCACTCAGGCACCTGCTCCCACAGGCCCATCTCAGGGAACTGCACACCTCTGGCAGCTGTCACAGGTCATCCATGGCCAGCAAAACATCTGGCAGCACGTATTACACACGTGCAAACTTGAGAAGAACAGAGAACTAGCAGCCCCCCACACCCCATGGTCGGACACTGACAACACCACTGCCACCTGCTGGCAGCCACCCCAAATTACAGGTTCAGTTCTCTCGGCAGTTCACTCAACCACTCAAAAACTATCCACTGGAACTAACTGCTCTGGGCGCTGAATGGCCTCATCAGAGCGAAATGGCTTCCTGGAAACCTAAGCGTGCAGTGAAGGAAGCAGCCACGGAGACCGGCACGTGCCACCTGGGCACAGGCCCTGGGCTCCAGGCCAGAGGGCTGAGTCCACTAGGAAAACGTGGGGGGCGGGGCGATGAGACACACGGTGAGACTCTGTTGCGTTCCCTGGACTCCCTCTCTCCACCGGGCGGCCCAGGTGGCCAAGCTCAGGCAATGCCCTGGGAGCCCAGGTCCAGCCCCTCTGGGCTCGGGCAGGGGGAAGGCCTCAGTCTGCTGGTCACAGAGCAGTGGCACCAGCAAAGGGCCGGCCCAGCCTCCACTGCTGGAGCGCCGAGAGCCACCACGGGAGCCGGGGACACCCACGGGCGCACGCACACACACGCACGCGTGCGCACGCCAGCCCGCACCTCGATCTGCAGGATGGCCTCCTCACGCAGCCGGATGGCCTCCAGGTCCTCCTCGGTGATCTCCGGAAGCAGCGCCTGCCCCTGGGCCTGCCACACACCGTCGCCCCCGTTAAAGATCTTCTCGTCCTCGGACAGCTCGGCAAATGGGGCCTGGGGACTCTGCCGAGACACAGACCAAGGTTACCCGCATGCACAGCCCGCTGCCACCAGGCCGAGCTCTCGGCAGGCACCCAGGAGTCCCCAGC